TCTCCCACGTGTGATTGTTAATTCTGATTGGAAATCATCCAATCAGAATTAACCTGATGGTTTAAATACTTACCTTTCCTGTTCCTCCTTGCCCTGTTGTGGTCTTTGCTTGTTAGTATTGATTCTGAACTTGTGCTTCTGGTTACATACTCTCTGGCTTGTTATTCGACTCTGTGACTTTCTCCTACCCTTTGACCTCGGCTTGTTTCACGTTATTCTGTCTTCTGGTTCCCCTTACTCGGCTTGTTTCCTGACTATTCTTTGTGTGCTTAGCCCGGCCACTCTAAGGTCCGGTACGGCACTTTGTGTGTGTGTGTGTGTGTTGGCGTGTTTGGTTCCCCGAATCGTGACATTACAACAGGGCCATAATGGAACCTGCTGACATACCACAGCTTCTAGTTAATCAAGAGGCTAGAATGGATGGCTTAGACCACCGTATGGATCAGTTTGCTCAAGCTTTACAAACCATTCTGGCTCGTACTGCACACTTGCAACCGGCCGTTCAGGAGGCTGCTGCTGCTGTGCCCGAACCCATTCCCACTCCAGTACCTGTTCCCGCTCATGTAGTTCACATGACGCCGCCACAGCGCTACAGTGGTGACCCAGCATTGTGTTGTGGTTTCCTCAACCAAATCGACATCCATTTGGTGATGAATCCACGCTCCTATCCCACTGACAGATCTAAAATTGCCTTTTTGATAAACCACTTGTCCGGGAGAGCTTTAGCATGGGCCAACCCCATTTGGGAAAATACGTCTCCTATGTCCTTTGCTGATTTTCTGACAGCTTTCAGACGCACGTTTGATCAACCCGGTAGGGTTGCTTCTGCTGGCAAGGCTCTGCTTAGGGTCCGACAGGGTAACAGGTCTGTAGCAGATTACACTATCGAATTTCGTACTCTAGCAGCTGAAGTGGTTTGGAATAATGACGGCCTCGTAACAGCCTTTCAGGAGGGTCTGGCCGCTTATATACTGGATGAAATAGCATCCAGGGAATTACCTGCTCTTCTAGATGATGTTATAGACTATGTGATTCTTATAGATAACCGTATTAGAGAGAGGCGTAGCCAAAGACGGTTGGATACACGGGTGTTACCTGCTCTACCCAGTACTTCCCTGCTAGCGCTACCCGCTCCTGTGCAGCCATCCCCTGAACCCATGCAGTTGGGTGCTACAGGGTTAACTGAGGCCGAAAGAGCGTACCGTAGAAGGGAGGGGTTATGCCTTTATTGTGGGAAGAGGGGGCATCACTGTAAAGCCTGCCCTAAACTACAAGGAAACTGCAGCACCTAAGGCCTAGAGAGGGGTCGGCCTCGGGTGTTATGACCTTGTCCCCTCATATGTCCATCTCTAGACCGTTTATTACGGTTTCTCTCTTGGTCAATAAAAAAACCACTATAACAACCAAAGCCCTGATCGATTCAGGTGCGGCAGACAACCTTATGGATGAGACCTTTGCCAAAACCGCAGCCCTGAATTTGATTCGAAAGGAGACACCCTTGGCCGTTGAGGCCATAGATGGTAGACCACTGGAGAAACCTCTGGTGACCCATGAAACCCAGGAAATAGTTATGTCTGTGGGTGTTTTGCACAAAGAGAAGTTAACCTTCAAAATAATTAACTCCCCAACAGCCTCCATCGTTCTAGGTTTTCCCTGGTTAGTTAAACACAACCCTGTTCTTGATTGGGGTTGTTTAGACATACTTTCCTGGGGGGAATCTTGTCAGCGAGACTGTGTGGCTCATGTACATCCTGTCTGTTTACTTAACGTACTCACGGCTAAACCACTCTCGGTTTCTGTGCCCTCTGTTTATGCGGATCTTGCCTTGGTTTTTGAGAAGAGGGAGGCAGATAAGCTACCTCCACATCGTGAGTATGATTGTGCCATAAACCTCTTACCGGGCACTATGCCTCCTAGGGGAAAGGTCTACCCCTCTTTCTGAAAAAGAGAACCAAATCATGAGGAGTACATACAGGAATCCCTAAGAAAAGGTTTTATTAGAAGGTCCTCCTCTCCTGCTGGTGCTGGTTTCTTTTTTGTGGCTAAGAAGGAGGGTGATTTGAGGCCATGTATAGACTACAGGGGTCTGAACAATATAACGGTTAAAAACGCCTACCCTATCCCCCTCATCACTGAGTTGTTTGATCGTGTTAAAGGTTCTAAAATTTTCACCAAATTAGACCTCAGGGGGGCTTATAACCTTGCCCGTATAAAGGAGAATGACGAGTGGAAGACAGCCTTCAACACACGCAGTGGGCATTACGAATATCTGGTCATGCCTTTTGGATTGTGTAATGCTCCTGCCGTGTTTCAGGACCTCATAAATGATGTCCTTAGGGATCTATTGCATGTCTGTGCTGTAGTATACCTTGACGACATACTTGTGTATTCTCCTGATTTGAAGTCACACCATAACCATGTTAGGATGGTGCTCAAAAGGCTATTGCAGAGCGGACTCTACTGTAAGTTAGAAAAATGTTTATTCGATCAGACCTCTGTGCAATTCCTAGGATATATCATTACTGAACAGGGTTTCAGTATGGATCCTGCTAAATTGGAAGCTATAATGTCCTGGCCACTTCCCCAAGGACTAAAGGCTATCCAGCGTTTTATAGGATTTGCCAACTATTATAGGAAATTTATAAAAACTTTTCACCACTCATATCTCCCATAACGAAGTTGACAAAAAAAGGTCTACATCCTAGGGTTTGGACTCCTGAAGCCCTTAAGGCCTTCGAAACCCTCAAGAAGGCATTTGCCTCTGCTCCAGTGCTGCACCACCCTGATCCTTCTCTTCCCTTTGTTATGGAAGTAGACGCCTCAGAGTCAGGTGTGGGGGCCGTACTGTCACAGAGGTTGTCTTATGACAAACCCCTCCATCCCTGTTGTTATTTTTCTAAAAGGTTGTCTGATTCAGAGAAGAATTATGATGTTGGGAATAGGGAACTATTAGCTATTGTGTTAGCTTTCAAGGAATGGAGGTACTTATTAGAGGGTTCTAGACACAAAATTATGGTTATAACAGATCATAAGAATCTATCCTATATTGCTGATGCTAAGAAGGTTATCTGCCCGGCAGGCTAGATGGTCTCTATTTCTCTCACGCTTCCAATATGTTATCACCTATAGACCTGGTTGCCGTAATGCCAAGGCTGACGCCATCTCTCGGCAGCATGAACCAGTAGAATTTGTTAACCCGACTCCTGAACCTATTGTACCTGAGTCTCAGATAATAGCTGCTACCCGTTTGGTTATTTCTTCGCCTTTCCTTACCAGTATTAAGACATACCAAACCCAGGCACCCCCTGAGACGCCGGTTGGTAAACTATACGTTGAAGCTAATGACAGAAAAAAGTTGTTAACTTTATTTCACACAGCCAAAACTGCTGGTCATCCGGGGGTTACCAAAACCTACAAGGGCCTCCTTCAACAGTTCTGGTGGCCTTCACTCAAGCGAGGCGTAGTGGATTTTGTTCAGGCTTGTCAGGTCTGCACGCAATGTAAGTCCCTTAATGTGAGACCCCAGGGTTTTCTGATGCCTCTATCTATACCCAAGAAACCATGGACCCACTTATCCATGGATTTCATTGTAGACCTGCCTCTTTCTGATGGTCAGACGGTGATACTGACTGTGACGGATAGGTTCTCTAAAATGGCGCACTTCATTTCGCTTAAGAAACTGCCTTCTGCGGTTCAGTTAGCTCAGGTATTTGCCAAAGAAGTGTTCCGATTGCATGGGGTACCCCAGGATATCGTATCTGACAGGGGCCCTCAATTTGTCTCTCGGTTCTGGAGGGGCTTTTGTGCTGAGATGGGGGTCTCCTTGTCGTTCTCTTCCTCCTATCACCCGCAATCTAATGGTGCAGCCGAACGTGCTAATCAGCCTGTGGAATTGTATTTGCGCTGCTTCACTAATGCGCACCAGGATGACTGGTCTCGCCTTCTTCCGTGGGCTGAATTTGCCAGGAATACGGTGTCTCATTCGTCTACTGGCTTCAGTCCTTTTGAGGTTGCTTATGGGTTTCATCCTTCTGTCCTTCCCGGTGCGTTCTCCGACAAGGGAATGCCCGCCTTGGACCAGCACCTCGCCTCTTTGCGGAAGACGTGGGATCAAGTCCATGTTGCGCTGTCTCGTTCAGCAGCTGCTCAGAAAAAGTTTGCTGATCGCCGTAGGGTTGCGGCCCCTTCCTATGTTCCGGGTGATAGGGTATGGTTGTCCTCCCGGAACCTCCGTCTCAAGGTTCCCTCGATGAAATTTGCCCCCAGGTTTCTTGGTCCCTTAAAGGTGTTACGTAGGGTTAATCCCGTTTCCTACTCCCTTGATTTGCCTCCTTCCATGCGTGTCCCGAACTCGTTTCACGTCTCGCTTTTGAAACCCTTGCTGTGTAACCGGTTCTCTCGTCCCCTCGGGCGGCCCGTTTCCCCTCGAGCTGTCTCTGACGACGTGTACGAGGTGGCTACCCTTCTCGACTCTCGTGTTTCTAGGGGTCGGCTGCAATATTTGGTGGACTGGAAGGGGTACGGCCCTGAGGAGCGGTCCTGGGTTTCAAGCTCCGATGTGCACGCTCCCTCTTTGGTCCGCTTCTTTCATGCCCGCTTTCCTTTGAAGCCTTCCGCTTCCCACCCCCTGGGTGGTCTTCGAGGGGGGGGTAATGTCAGGCTCCCGCGGACGGCTGCGAGGGGAGGCTGCACTCCGCTCGCAGTACTCACCCTCCAGCTGTCCGCGGTCCCCTCCGCCTCGTGGGTACGGCGAGCGGCATCCTTCCAGCCTCGGATGCCGCCCGCCGTTCCCTCCACGTCCCCCAGCGGCAGCATGCATGACGCTGCACGCTGGGAGACCGCCCAGGTTTATACACGCCGGGGTCAGTCACCTGACCCGGCGTTAAAGGCAAAGTGCCACAATCACGGTGGGAGGTCTAAATATCTCCCACGTGTGATTGTTAATTCTGATTGGAAATCATCCAATCAGAATTAACCTGATGGTTTAAATACTTACCTTTCCTGTTCCTCCTTGCCCTGTTGTGGTCTTTGCTTGTTAGTATTGATTCTGAACTTGTGCATTCTGGTTACGTACTCTCTGGCTTGTTATCCGACTCTGTGACTTTCTCCTACCCTTTGACCTCGGCTTGTTTCTCGTTATTCTGTCTTCTGGTTCCCCTTACTCGGCTTGGTTCCTGACTATTCTTTGTGTGCTTAGTCCGGCCACTCTAAGGTCCGGTACGGCACTTTGTGTGTGTGTGTGTGTTGGCGTGTTGGGTTCCCCGAATCGTGACACATTGCTTTTCTGCCCAAAACCAGTTCCACAGAGTCTTCTATCCTGGAGATAATTGGGAAGTAATCCAATTATCTCCAAGGACAGAGGCAAAACTCCATTGAACACATAGCAGCAAAAGACAATAAAATACATAAAAATATATAACTGTGCAGCCATTGCATAAAACAGGTACATTCAACATATCCCCAGATAGCTCAGATCTGAGCGCACATTATTACTGAATGGCGCTCAGAGCACACACATACAGTTCAATTGCCATGGAGCCAAAGTCTTTCCCATAGTCTTTCATTATACGAATGGGCTCTATGGCATAGCTATCTGGGGTATCACCACTCAAACAGGGCCAGCACCGAATGACCCGGCTTTCGTGTCTTTGCAGAGGAAAATCAAGCATTTCAACATGGGGCCTGTAGCGGAGAGCTGATATTCCACAGGTTATCTCCACTTAAGATCCCAGTGAGGCTCAGGAACAAGTATTATAAATCCATAAGGCAATAATTGCAGCAGGCAAAGCAATCCAACAATATCCCAACATCAATCCCAATGACTGGACGACACACAGCATCAGGAGCAGAACTGAACTTTTAATCACTCAACCTTCTTTTAAAGCTTTCTCCCATGCAAGGGAGGGATTTACAGTAATTACACAATACAAAACTCCAATCTCCAACACCTCAGGGCACAATTAATGTGTTAATCTGACTGATTGCATCAACTTCCTTGCTAATCATTTGGATCACTCCTAGAGAGACCGTGGGTTCCATCACTGGACCCCTTCTGAATCGCCTCATCATACCCCTATATCTTGGATTACCTGGTTAACTAATTTGAACAGGCCTTGACTCTGCTTTTGGAATTTCCTTCAATACTGATTGAACGACCTCGGACTGGATAAAGGACATTGCTTATGGACTAACCCTGGACACATCTCCTAAACTTCTTCTATTTTCAAGGACTGTCAGTTTATCTCTCTGCTTTGCTGACACACCAGCTGGCCGTGCTTGAACTGCCTCAAAATAAAGTGAGTGGTTCTTTTTGTTTGGCATTTGTTAAAGAAAAAAACATGAAATAGACATACAGAGTGTTATCCATCACACCGCGATAGATATACTGTCAGGATTACAGAATGATCCAGCACGTAGAATTGTGTAACACAGAGTACTGATAGGTAATGTATACCGGACCTTAGAATGGCCGGACTGTAGCAGAGAGTTGGTCTTTCACAGGTTAACTCCACTAAAGATCCCAGTGAGGCTCAGGAACACGTAATAAAATACCATAAAATAATAATCACAGCAAGTAAGGTAATCCACAAATATCCCCATACTGATCCCAATGACTGGACGACACACAGCATCAGGAGCAGAACTTAACTTTTAATCGCAAAACCGTCTTTTAAAGCATTCTCCCATGCAAGGGAGGGATTTACAATAATCACACAATACACCAATCACATACGAGTTGCCACCCACACATCCCCTCCCCTTAGTGTGACACATAATCCCATTATGCAGGACACAAATTCCCTTGGTTTCTTGATGTACCCCTAAACATGGTACCCCTTTAACTATTACATCCCCTGGTAGCCCTGATCTGGGTGAGACACATATCCAAAAATCACCCAGATCAGACCAGGGGTTCGGGAAATTCCTGGAAGTACTAAAAAGACCGACTGCGCTGGGGTTAACAGCCGAAAAGGGTTCCATGTATTTTGGCCCTGCGGTCGGTCACAGAAAAGGGAATGAAACACACGAATGGCTTGGGTTATGAGAGCTGGGGAGGATCTGGGTAAATCCCCTTGTTCGAGAAGCCCTTCGGTAGTTTTTACACGAATTGGCGGCAGTGTGGAGGTCTCAGCGGTGTTTGCCTAACCGAGTGTCCGATTTGGGTTCCAGACACTCGACGGCAAAACACAGCTGTTTGGGAGTTTAAAATGGCCGACAACACGTGTTCGTCTCCCAAATGGCGGACACCCAGAGAACAAAGAACACACTACACAAATTGCCAATTACCCATTTGCAACATTGTTGCGAACGATAATTGGAGGCACACTTACTCCTGGGGTGGTCTGATTGTTCGGTAGTTTCACTCGCATAATAACTGAAGTGATTTTACGAATGCTGAATACATTTCACATACACATGTCACAATTTAACCGAACACATAGGAATAAATGTAATTTTTAGGACAGCCCAATGCCATCCGCTACAGGGCCATAGTCTAAAGGCAGCTGGTGGGCAACCAGGCTCCTCCAATGCACAGTGGCGAGATTGGTCTCGTCACAAGGTTTAGGCAAGTATGAATCAAGTTTCTGTTTAAACATCTGTCCAGACTCTGATAAAACCAGCTTGAAAATTTCCATTAGTGACAACTCTCTGTACTCTATTTTTAAGCCAATGTTCTACCCAAGAACAAGAATGCCTGGTCTTTAGAGGACTCAGAACCCATGACATCAGTGGCAAGTGGAGTGTCATGACCCGTCACCTCTGGGTGTACTAGCATTTTGGAGATGGCCAGCTTGGGCCCTCAAAAAACTAAAGGCAAAGCTCTGCTGAAACAAAGCCGTCAAGTGGAGATACAGGATCTGACTGCCCCTCCATTCCCGGTATTAGATGAGGAAGGCTCTCTCCCTCCACCCTCCCTAGCGGTGGTTAACGAATGGAGAGCCACAAGTATCAGACCAAAGTCTGAGCCTTAAAGTGAAAAATTGGAAAGAAAATGGCCTAACCCAAAATAGACTCAATCAGAAAATAGAGGAAATTTAAAAGTAAGTCCCCCACATCCCCAATGGCAGGGAGACAAAGTCTAAAATTTTTACCACCACTAATTATATGTTATATCATTTTCTTTGGGAGTACTAGAGTAAAAAAAATAGCAAATAGTGTGTGACGGTCTGCCATGGTATCACCGCCATGCATACCCTTTTCCTATAATAATCATACACTAATAAATTCACAGGTTACAATATCACTGATATCACATTATAACCCACATGTGAGCCAAAGCTTAATGCTGGGACATTAATGGAAAACATTCAATTTATACATGCAGAAACTCCTCCTCTGAGAGGTCAGAGAGATAATTGAGTCCGAGAAAGTACTAAACTCAATTATCTTCTGGTCAGAAAAAGTAAAAATTTTCACATCACCCCAAAAGTACCCCCAAAAATACATGGGAACCCCACAAGTCACATCCCTGGGTAGCCTGGATACGGGGGAACAATTTATCCGAAAATCAGCCAGATCCATTTGGTAGTTCACGATCGGGACCGCAGAGAAGATTTGACCGGTCTTCCTCGAGGTTGAAGCCCAGAAAAGTTCCATGAAAAATGTAGCAAGAGCCGGTCTCCTTTCTTGGGGTTTTGCACGAAAACCACAGAAAATAAAGTCAAGCTGGTTTGTGGCGAATGCACCCTGTGTTTGTTATTCTGAAACTCCAGAACGCCGTTTGTCTAAGTGATTGGGAAGAAGAACATAGAGTGAATCCATAAAGACCGGTGTTCGTGAGAGTGCCTGGCCAAAAATAGTTCCAGTCACTCGACGTCCAAGTCCCGCTGGCAGCGTAGGGGAGACAAGATGGCTGCCATCCATTGTTCCAACCACGTGTATTCGTATGCACGAAATGGAGGCCACCCAGGGGAGCTTTCTATTAATCTGTGTGTTACAAACCCATTACAGACAAGCATTATGTTGTTTCGTTGTTATAATATTGCTTCGGTACTTGAATCCTGTACCCAACTCATGAACGGATTACTTATACCAATTTGTTAAACGAATAATGGACCACCCGGTCCCTGGCGTGTGCCGCCACTTAACTCCGGTCACCTTTCAAACAACCGAACAAACCGACCACCCTGCGAGGGGAGTGTGTTACCACTTGATCGCCCAGAGAGTTGCGGTCTGCGGTTAACCGCAGGTTAATTGATGGCCTCCGGGCATTCTCGTTCATGCCTTATCTCTCGATGGTCTAACTACCGAAAGGGGCACAAACGGGGACCACCTACAGCCTGGCGTGTGGCCTCAATTAGAATGTTGAGTATTGCGGTTAACCGCAGGTTAAGTACCCCCTTCACGGCGGTCTACGTTCGTCTCCCGAACAGCTGAAACATCCAGCCAGACAGCGGGGATTCATGCACAACTCTGGCCATTAATTGTTCCACAAGTTTGATGCCGAGGTCCCGCTGCCTATTGACTCACTTAAAAACATGGCTGCTGTAACAGAACTGTACTTTCTGCATGGACATATTTAACAATAACTATGCATAATAATACAAGGGGATACACTTACCTGGTTTGGTGGATTATTACAGCACAATTCAGGACTTATATGGCCAGTATTCGTCTATTTGTGCAATCCATGCAGTAGAGACTCAGCAGGCACAAAGACGAATACAAATTGCCGAATACCGGACCACCCTGATGTCAATTATGTGGTATTTTACCTCCCAGACCGGCATATACCATTCGTGTGAGAAATGCACGCATCCTTTGTTGTAGATCCTAGGTGGCCGCCATTTCGTGACTTTGCACGTTTGCCATCTTAACGCACGAACAGCGGTGATTTGCCGTCGAGTGTCTGGAACTAAAATCGGACACTCGAGCAGGCGAACACCACTGAGACCTCC